ACGTCATCGATGTGGACAAAAACGAAACCGAGACCTTTCGTAACCTGGCCCACGAATCGTTGGAATGATTGCGCTGTATTTTTGAGTCCAAGTGGCATCCGGAGAAACTCAAACAGTCTGGAAGGAGTTATTATTACCTTTTTTCCGATGTCTTCCGGTGCAACATGTATTTGATGGTATGCCCGAACCACGTCCACTTTTGAGAATGTTTTTACCATGCAGGGTGGGGGAAAAGTCGTGTGGGTGTGGGTTGGGATAGCGATCAGAAACAGTCGCGTTATTCAAAGCACGACAGTCACCACGTGTACACCAATCACGATCCTTATTGCCACCATATGCAGCTGTGAAGCCCAAGCGCTGTTGGACGGCCGTATTACGCCCAGCTGCATCATATGTTCGGATTCAGCTTTGGTGTCGGCTAACTCGTCAAGTGGTAGGCGTCGGGGCCGTGTGCGGACGGGTTGACCTTTAATGACGATCTTATGCACTATCGTGCTGTGTACTTCCTAGGCGTGACAGTTGGGTTTCACTATGCTGGGGAAGTCTTGGAGCAGGTATGCATATCTGTCATCCTCAGGTTTTGCAATGCAGACTCTATGAATGGAGTAATCTGATACCATTCCCTGTAAGTTCAGCTTTGTGCATGCGTCAGCCAGCTTCTTCTTGTTGACATCAACTAGCAGTTTGAAAGCACTCAAGAAGTCAGCCCCTAATATTAGGATGATGCATATCGGCAACTATTGAAATCCAGGTAAATCGGTAGCGTAGACTAAGATCTAATATCACTGACTGCTCGCCGAACGTTTTGTTCACAGCTTGAAGAGATAACTTGCTAGAGGTTGTTGATGGTCACCGTGAAAGCGACACCGAAATAACATTAACTTCGGCGCCTGTGTCAACTAAAAACCGGAAGCCTGAAGTTTTATCCATCACGTTAAAGAGGCCACTGAGATGGTTGCCAGTAACAGCTGTCGCCATCACTGTCTGGCTGATAAGTTTCCCTGATCTGATGATGAGCTTTTATTAAAGTTGCAAGGTCTAGTACGCCGGTTGGCTTTGTGGCCAAAACTTTCTGTGGTACCAACAAATCTCCTATGTGGCCTTAGGTGTGCGAGGTCAATGTCTATCATTTGAGCGTCTACGAGATATGGACCTCAGGCAACGAACTTCAATATTCGACACCTTTTCACCCAACGCTTCAAACCTGGACGGTAATTCTGCTAACTGTGACTGAATACTAGAAAAGTGGGTAGGAGTTGACGGAAGGTTATACCGAAGGGGTTGTCATTGAATGGTTGGTCGAAAAATTAACAAAATTTAGGAAATACATATGAAACTAAACTGCAAATAGAAGTATAGGGCAAAATTAGTTCACTTAATCGGGCTCACCAATAAATATGTAGTGGACCCAGAGAAATGTCAAGTAAACCAAAATGACAAACTACGTATAATTTACAAAAAACAGATTCACTAATAGAGAAATATGAAAAGTTATGTGTTATAACACAAAATAGTAATGTCGAGGTCATGTGTAATAACTGGTTAGGTGTCAGATCAAACCACTGCTTGAATCAGCTTAAACCTCCCATGGTAGTAATTATGATATCACTTTTACTTCACTTATTACCCCCGTCAAATAATTTTGGTTTTCCCTTCCTGATGTACTTCGTTTAGTTAACTGTATTCCCATTACCTCTGTTATCATTGTTATTGATCAGAATACACACTTGGTTTTCTTATGATATCGTCTCCAGTGACTGTAACGCATTCGAAATCTTACACATTCACCTTCCAGTTTCGATTTCTAAACTGCCTCATCTCTTCGTTGTCAAGCTCCACCGTTCGTCAGTTATCTTTTACTATTATGTGTAAGTATATCCTGTGCACTTGCTGAGTTGTTGGCTCACCCTTTTCTCTCCCTGTTTTCCCTTCCAGATTCTCGTAGCCATCATTAAACTCATACTGATCTGCGTGCCCCCTACAACAACGTAACTGCCTGCTTACCAATAAAAGGCTAGACGAAAACGTATCAACAGCTGATCGTCACATGACCACAAACTACACTGTTCATACTGACGTAATCTACTCTCAATCAATTCATTTTTTATCCTAGTGTCAACATTTTTATTATTACCCATATTTTTTTAAGGGAAGACTAGTATCAAAATTCTAAATTGCTTGCTTAGTCTATCTTCAATCTATTCAGTTTGGTCATTCACTCCTATACTTTGGATACTTGTTTACTTTGTATTATCACCTGGCTTGATAAATCTGTTCATTTCTATGTTATTGCACAAAAGTCGGTGTCTTTGTCTACGGAAATATATGTATGCATGTATGTTCTTTTATATTGTTTAACGGTATACATATCACCAAGTATGTAGAGTATCTAGCTGACGAGTACACCTGCAATTTATGAATCCATCAAATCCTGGTTTTTTTTCACTTTCCTTGCCTGTTTTAAATTTGTAACGGTAGGCAAATATTTTTAACCATTCCTAATACTTTAGATAAATTGAAGGCCCACTATGAGAAATGGTTTCCTGACCACTCCATATTTGAATTCTGCTCTCATTCACTACACGTCCTTTTATATCTGTTCAGTAACTGTCAATAAATAATCGAACAATTGAGTTAGGTGCAGAAGTATAAACCACAATACTCTGCTATGCGGACTCCACTGGGTGTGTGGTAAATACCACTGACTTCAACACCAAGCATTCATTTCCTCACCTTTCCTCATCTTGTTAGTGAGTTAGTTTTTTTTGTAATAGCAAAAGTTGATTTTGCATTCGTTATTGCATGAAGCTTCCAACATAAGTCTATTGTTCATAATCTTGATATAATGACAGATACAAATTTATGTCTAAAACACCATTCAGATAATATTCACGGTAACATCAAACAAGCAAACAGAGTTGTTTGAATTCATAGTCCATTATCGTGGTCAAGTTCTACTCTTATACAACTCAAAGTTGACTTATATTACCTGAAAAGTTGAAAATGTGATTATCCTCAGATAAGTATCATAAATAGTATTAATTTGTTCACTTTAAGGAACAACAACATCACTCACGGGGGAGTAGATGTATCCAGCTGACGAGTCCCCAGTAGGACGAAACGCGCATCCTGGATTCCACTGCTAGTCATCAAGATCAATATGGAATCATGAATATCCAGCAGTACCGAAAAATCTACATAGGAGTCCATCAATCAACACAATGGAAGTCGAGCAGTTTGGCCCTCTATAGAAACGGGAAATTGCAAGTATCACTGCGAGAACTGATACCCGTTGCACAAGAGGGAGCTATCGTGCCCCAGTGGCTTAGGGTATAACACTCTGGCGTTTGAAGTGGTAGTTACTGGGTTCAAGGATCCTGAATGGGAACAAAATCACTCACTGGGGTGCCGGTACATAGAGCTGAGAAGTCCCAGATACGACGAAAGGTGCATCCTGGATTCCTCTGGTAGTTGATGAAACCAATGTTCATTTTAAGAGTCGTTTCGCTCATGACTAAATTGGTGACGCTGTTATATAGCTTATTTTTAAAGCTTCCAACTAACTTCTCATCCACTTATCTATGACATATTTTCCAGACAGAAATAAATCCATGTTGAGCGAAATCCGTCATTGTTCATTATCTCATCTTTTGTGTTTGAAATTCGTTCTTTCCTTCCTGAAAAGTTATGGTGCATTTTGGTCAGGTAATTTGGTTATCTGTACAGATAAATCAGATCGTCAAAGATTTACAAGCGACAAGCACGAGATTTTGTGTCATGTTGTACGCGGTTTCAAGGTTTCATGTCGAATTGCATGACTCGTCGTGTTAGTGGATTGAATATGCGAGACTGGACAAGTATATTTACGACCAGTCAGGTTCAAGGTTAGCATCAAGATAGAATCAACAGAATAATGCACCTGGGACAATTACAGTCACGCAAAATAATTCGAAACCATTCTGCTGACTCTTCAAAGAAAATTTCAGTCATAAAAATCTGAACTACCTGAAATGAACATAGGGAATCCATGTTTTCTCACTTTGCTGTTTTTATTTTCCAGCGCCTAATGCTACTTGTTAATGATGAAATGAAGTTAACTTATCCAATTCTTCTGACCTGTATACTAATTAACAACTTGAGTAGTTAGACACCACTCATACTCATCTGTGGATTCCGCCAGCCAGCCAGATCAGAATGATTTAAACACTGGACGGCCGTTTCGTCTATTTGAGGCTTACCTAATCAGTGTCGTACCCGAAGAAATCCCCGGACAGCTGATTTTTGACAGTGTGATGGATAACTGGAGCTCGAGCTTCGAATTTTCCAATGACTTTCATACCATTCAGGCTTAAACGTTTTTAAGTAGAGCTTAAATATGATCCTCATAAAACAGCATCTGAAGTTTCGCCTAGATGAACCTCAGCAGCTCGAGCTGCCAATATCACCGGACAAAAAATACGCGCAGGCTGTAACACAAAATGACAAAAAGAATCAAAGGTCATCTTGACAATCCATCAAAGTACTCGAGGGAAAATTTTCATAACTAGGTTCTGTTTGCCAATTTTACGGATTATGTAGTCTTGAATGAAGATAAAAGCTTTGCGAATAAATCGGGTATTTCAAGAAGCATAACAACACCAAAATCATCAAATTTTATCTCCAATATATATGTGAGGTACTTTACAATACTAAACTATGTAAACTAAACTGAAGTTCGACCAGGGAACAACAAAGTCGGGGCTTTTATGGTTGATTGGCTTCTGAGTATCGCACTCAGCAGTATAAATGACAATAAATAGAAGGTAAGGACAAATAACATCAGGTTCGGAACTGAAATTTACATAATTTACACATCATTTACACAGACATATTCTTCATTCATAACAGTTTCATGTCTGACTAAAAGTTTGGCACTGATCAAGTCGGTGTTTTTTATCAAATGAAAGCTAACTACTGAATAAAATGTAAGTAAACTGAATTTTTGAAAGAAAATAACTCGATTAATATTCAGATGCACTACAACTGCCACCCAGCCACCAATTTCCATTATAAACCATGTGTCTTTGTATTCGAACCAGCCAGTCGTGAACATCTGATCCTTGAAAATGCACAATCCTCTTACGATTGCCTTCATTCACGTATTGTAGGATAAGCTGATCTACAATTTAAGAAATCGTTAACAAATCAAGTAATGTAAACAGTATTGGTGAAAGTAGACTATAAAATACTTCATTTGTAAACAGTATGAATACAAAACAAATTTGAAACATACTCAGCAACCAGCTGACGTTCGTACAACAAGCAGTGAGCCATACCTATAGTGGCGTACTATCTGACTTTTCAGCCGTTGATACGCGAAGTTAGATTCCAGCTGGTCAAAAGTCAAAAGTCTAGACCGAAGAATCACAGGATCATTAAAGAATATTGCACAGTATGTAAGAAAAGCCTGAAAGTTTTTCTTTGATGAGCTCTAATCAGACTTGAGGAAAAGTTGATAGTGCTGTGAATATTGACAGTGAAAAATTGCATACATTAGAGTCCAGTTAAGTCATTGTGAATGGAATATTTGAGCATACGCAGCAAGGAATGGTTTTTCATTAATTTTAACAAATCAGCAACAAAAATACAAACAAGACAAGAAAAAGAGTGATTAACCAATAATGACTGGTACCGGATAACAGTAGAATCCATAGCATGCGTTTTGTGTTACTTTGGACTCGTTGGCAGGATGTTCCTGCCTCCCACAAGGACTCTAATCCAGGACCGATTGGCTCAGACACCAGAACCATATCCTCCAGACCAACGTGGCATTTTAGTCACTCCTTGTGTGACAGGTGCGTGTAACATAATAATGAAAGTCATTAAAATTAACTAGTTAGTTAGAAGAGGTACAGCATGTGAAATGTGTCACCGAGACAGAGCCAAGGTGAATAGTGTTTCCTTCCACACACGGATGAAGACAGAGATGGGCAGAGAGACAGTTGGCTTTTGGACGCGTATTGCAAAGGCAGGAACTTTCTCATCACACACACACACACTTATCATCTTGCCAGAGTCCGAACCCACGACCTTCAGGTCTCATGGTAAGAATCCAGATTCATGCTAACCCAGTAGGGAGTCATGTGAGCGCTGCCTATATCTCTTTAAATGTAAATAGGTTCAAAACCGTTATTCATCGTTTGAAAGTCGACTAGACGTAGTGACAGTGATAATAGTAGTTATGTAAACTTATCCTTGACTACTTTTCAAAAGACAATGCATTCTCAATTCTTTTGATTTCTTGTTATACAAAGTGGATGCATGTTTTAAAAATTCTTACCCGAAGCATACGGTGGAATGTTAATATATGATATTTTTGTATTGTATATAGGATCTCTAATCACATTAAAGTATCCATTAGAGTGTTTTTGTGCAATCAACAATAAATCACGAAATAATAATAGTTCAACTCTTTTCCATCCACTTGAATCCAAAAGATTCAACCATCCATGATGTTCTAAATGTGCTGATGAATGATAATTAGGATAATTTATTCCTGAAGGTGTCGCTGTTGATGTTGTTGTCATCTTCATCATCATCATTAAACTCATTGGTTGTAATTGTTGTTGTTGTTGTTGTTGATGATGATGATGATATGCTTGTCCTATTGTGTTTATGTTATAGAAGCTACAATAGCCAAGTGCTTTTTCATCAAGAATTGATTGTGAATGTTGCAGTGTGCTTGTTGGATTGACTACGCATTCGTGAAGTGTGCTGTTAGTCTTGTGATTCGATTGTTCAGTACCATGGTGATGACATACTTGCTGTAAATAGAAAAAAGTTGGTTAAATTAGCCTAATATCTCAGAATCTTGAAAATAAAGATTATGATTTCCTATTTATATGATTAATAAATATTGTACTTTTGCAAAGAGTGCTTTGATATACTGTCTAAGTACTCATTCAACATGGTTATAGAGTTCCAGGAACCTGAGATCAAGTTTTGAATGAATCAAGTCAATGGAACTTAATAGTTCCAAAAAAACGTCATAAATTGTGATATAACTTTGAAACATATGTGTCATCCTTGATAGACAGTGGCTAGTAGTAGGATCCAAGAGGCTTATTTCGTCTCACTTTGGAACTCATGAGATAGATGTATCCACAATCCAGTGAGTGATGTTAGTAAACACAGAATGCATCACTTCAAACCCCACATTGTTATCCATAAGGCAACAGAGTCATGATGACCACTGCTGTACGATGGGTATAGTATACTTATTGATGATATAACTTGTAAATCTTCATCGCTGATAAGGCTGAATTTATCGGCTATTACTTGCATGTGGGTTCCCATGGGGATGCTTCATTACTGTTGGAATTTTCAATTTTAACAATAATGACATATCAGAAAGTAACCAATCACATAGTTGTATACTACAAAAAAGCCACGGGCAAAACGTCAGCCAATCAGATTCAACATGCACCCATATAGTTACCAAACTACCAGTCAAATTAGACTCTCGTAAACTTATAACTTCCTATACACGAATAAAGCTTTTAGGGATTCCAAATGATTTCAGGTTTGTGTTTTTTGCTGGCTAACTTTCGTCCTAGTATAGGAACCCTAAATAGCACGCACCCATAACCTGTAAGTCTCGTGGTAAGCCCATCATCATCAGAATCCAGTGGTCCATATTCATCCACTTCTGCGAACTCACGATATAGTGCGACCTTCATCAAATCCCATCACTGAGTACCTTTCCTCATGTTCGACTTGTTCAACTAGCCGATACCGCTCAGTTCAACTTCCAGAAAGTCACTAATAGCCTCTGGTCAGTAATTCTAATTAAGGTTTGTGGGGAATGAGATTTACTTATTGATTTTAAGTTAACATTCATCACCGAATGGCATCATTTGGAGTAATGGGGTATGTATTGCCGAGGAGTCCTATACTAGGATGAAACAGGTGTTCAATGCTCTCAAGTTCCTAATGATTCTCCCTCCAACTGATGTTAGTTCGTGATAAATAGCAACTTGAAACTTGAATATCTAAACTGTGATGATCATGTCAAACTTGATAAAATGCATAGAAATTGAGTCAACTAATGTTGTGATTTAACATCCAAACTTATCAAAAATGACTTTCGCTCCACACAGACACATATAAAATGCATCTAGGTTTTGTTTGAATATCATGTCTTCTTTCTTATAAATACTTTAGTTAGGTAACATCTGAAAATCAAATTAATGCTGCGAAACAACCGGAAATTCACTGTAAATACTGAACTTGATTTTCTCTTGTACTGTAATTAGATCATTGGTAAAAAGTGAAATTGCAACTACGTACATAAACATACACACTGAGTTTTTGACTTCATAGCCAGTACAAGAACTTTAATTGTTTCACAGCATTATCATTATTGATCTTTTCTGGAGTAACAAAAAGATCACTTTGTATGCATAAAACAAGATGAATTACTTCCGGTCGGTGATGTCTAAGATGACAATAATATTGATTTTGATCAACCTATACGCTTTTCACCTTGAGAAATATTTTGTCCATAAAGAAAAATGGCGCACAGTTAAGATGGTGGAAGCCAATACAATACATATCCAAAATGTATATATCAACTATCAGATGGATTTATACGTTTGTATCTCTGGGCTACAAAAATCAACCATCTACTTATTAACAAGTATAAAAGCTAAATTTTCTTACTTTACTCATTTTAAACAGAAATTGGTGCGAAAATCAAATAAAGACAGTACTGTTACTAGTAAGAACAAATTATGTGTATCATTTGTTTTGAAGGAAACTATTCGTGATTGTTATTGGGAAGCAGAACAATTTGTTAAAGTATTCACTCCTACATGGTGTGTTCTCTTCTTTATTTAGAAAAAAAACAAAATCATTCAATACTACTTATTTTCAATTCTGTTTTCTTCTAAATTTTCACTACTGTAAAAAGCATAATTTATGTTTGAATGAGTTGAGAAAACTTTTCGCTGTTCAGTATTGAACTTAATTCACTGAAAAATAACCTTTCATTACTGACTAAAAAACTTGACTCATGAAGTGAACCTTTAAACCAACCCTACGATCAGGAAAAGCTTAGTCTATAGATAAGATGAGAGCTTCAGGTACAAATGTGACAGATAGTTTGGAGATACACCTACAAGAAAAACTGCACAACAGTCAATTACTTCCATCTATCGAATCATTTTAACGATACTCAAACCAACTGTCTACAACACTCAGCAGAAAATGATTCATTGTGAAAAACCTATTTCCAATACACTCAGTTAAGGTGAATAGAAAGAAAAGTGAGTCACATTTATTTAAGGATAGGTTATAGATTCATCCGGATAGACCATTACTCAATGAATAGAAGATGCATGAAAGTTGATGATAGCTTGGATGAATTTACGAGAAAGAGATGTTTATCTTCACCCTCAAAATTGCACGGCAGCCTTTTAAACTAGTGGCTTGAGTTTTAATTTTTATTTGTTTTACGGTCAACTGATTGAATGTGTAGTCTGTGTTGTCGTCTGAAATGAGTACTGTATTGTATGAAATTTCCGTTGTTTGGTAGATAATTCATTGTGAGTGAGCACTCAGGCTGTCAGTGTGATAATGTTGGAGTGACCATGGTTTCCTTTCGTTGTAAATACTACGTAGTATAGTTGTACTCATCATGGACTAAGAATAGATTGGGAAACATTGGAAACCTAAGTACACTGGACAGCTACTGTCCCATGGGACTGTTCAGCAGTGTTCACATATGACCCCCGCCCCACCTAGGATCGAATCCAGGACATTCAGGTCCCGTGGTCAGCATGTCAGTATTTAGCCACTCAGTCGGAATCCAGTGGTCCATATTTCTTACTTCTGTCAGTTCGCGAAATAGAGCGAATTCCATCCAATGTCACCGTTTCGTAACCAACCTCAACCTGGTTGGCTTCATTGGTCATGACTTCTCATTAGAACTTCGCGAATCACCTCTCCAAGCTAGGACTAGCGGTTCTACCCCATAAAGCTAACCCAATAGCTAAAGAAACTTCAAAGTAGAGACAAAATGTCAAAATAAGATTATTCCTCAATGGAATCGGGGAGACCAAATGATCCCAGTTGTTGAAAGCCTTCGGGAAGCTAGTCGCCCGATGTGTCTTCTCTCGATGAATGCAAAAGTAAACATGAGGACACTGAATGTCTGCAGAATGTTTGAAGCTGGCTGATAAGGCTGCCACGATCGCGGAAGAGATGAAAAGATATGGCATAGAAGTGCTAGGCTAGGAATCTGCGAGGAATCAGCAGATGGAATGGACTCGGACCCTCCAAACTGTCAGCTGGGGAGTCAACAACCTACTCCGATATTGTCACCCAGACAACAACCACGAGCACAATGAAATTTGGAGTGGCTATTGTGGTGTTGTCAAGGGCGTCGAAGGCTTTCATGCAGCGGGAAATGACCTCTTCCCGCAGGATCATGACAGCAAGATTCAAATCAAAAGGAAAGTTACTATCATACAGTGCTACGCACTTACAAACAATGCAGATAAAGAGAAGAAGGAGGAATTCTATGGACAACTGCAATTAGTATTGGAGAAGTCTTCAGTTGGTGGCATCAGAATTCTAATGGGTGTGGTAATATGAATGCCAAACTGGGAGCGGACAACACAGGAAGAGAACCAATCGTGGTTCGAGAACTTGGTGAAATGAATGGGAATGGAGAACTGTTTGCAGACTTCTGCACATTTAATGATTCGATGATTGGAGGCAGTGTGTAAAAACACAAGGATATTCACAAAGCGACATGGATTTCACCGGATGCCCACACTAAAGATAACATCAACTTAATCTCAGTGAGAAGAAAGTGGAGACGCAGTCTACTGGACACTGGATCAGATCAAGAAGCGGAGCGGATGTAGGTTCACACTACTCACTATCTAGTACAAGGAACCTTCAAAATAAAGTTGAAAGCATTCAAACAACCTGGTGGTGATAGACCACAGTTCAAGTTGAACAGCAAGAACAGAAACTTAACTGAAGGACGAAACTACAAAGGACACCTTCATGTCAGCCATCAGGTCAAAGTGGGAGACATTAAGCAACACCCCTTAAGGATCGGTGTGGAAGAACACTGGAACTCTTTGAAAGAGAAGTGAAAGGAAACCTGCATAACCATGTTAGGAGGGAAGAAGAAGCAAGGCAAGGATTGGATCTGTACGGACACGTTGAAGCTGATATAGAAGGGAGAGGAAGGTGGTGAAGCAGAAGATTAACCAGTGCTGTGCAGGGATGAGCAACGAAAAGAGGAACTGAATACAATATGTAAGACACTGGACAAAAAAGTGAAGAAGAGTGCGCGGAAAGACAAAAGGCACTTCTACGACACATTGGCAAAGGAAGCAGGACAGAACGCCGAAATTGATTTTTTTTGCCGATGAAGCACTTTAATTGTTTGCAAGCTGTCGATTTCAATCAGGAATCCACTAGAATAATATATAAAAGACATATCAACCGAATACTGGCCTCCTTCATCATGGTCTTAGCTTCACTAACTGGGTAAGGGTTCATAATCCCACCTAGTTATTTAGGCCACAGTAGACAACGCGAAGTTTGAACCGGTGGAAAATATTTGTAGCTCGCGTGGAAGATCTTGACTGAACTGTGTTCTATGAGCTGCATCGTTTAGTCGTCTTTCTAGACTACAAAATCAAAGCGGTGTGATAAGAAGTGAGTTATGTATATTTCCCTATGAAGAGGTGGTTTGTGATTGGCAGTTTTTTTGTTTGTTGTCACTGACCAACTGTATGAATTT